GGTGACCGCCGCGCGTCACGTGTTTTAATACGTCACGTTCTGGGGAGCCGGGGGCACTGACGGAGTTGAGGGGTGTTTCTTAATGTCTGTCCCTGGGTCCAGCTGGCAGCCGCCCTGCCTCGCCGCTGCCCCTCAAACGCTAGGCCGAGGGGTGGCCACTCGAGACCACACTGCTGGCACTGTTGCCCCCGGGGTGAAATGCCACAAAGGGACGACAATGCCTGACCGCACCCTCATCAAAAGCAGGGGGCTGCGCCCCAGGACGCAGCCGCGCTGTGAGAAGAGTCATCTGTGTGTTTAGCAAATCAACTCTACCATTCAAAAGACGAAGGCTGGGCCCTCCCCGCTGGCCAGCGGGTTAGGACGCAGCGCTGCCAGCCGGCCGCAGCCGCTTCGGTGCAGGCTCGCTCCCCAGCCCCGGAGCGGCAGACCGCTCCCGACCGCCCCCTGCTCCCCTCAGCGGTGTGCTTCCTCGCTCTGCCTGTCCTGCTCCCCACTGTCTCTGGGGAAGGCCCTCACCGCCCCTGCACCTCTGGCCTGCACCCCAGCTCCATGTGCATGAATAAATCTTAGCAGAACAGTAACACTGTATGGAACAAACTTAGCTTCTTGTTCGCCTCATCGATACGGTCTGTGAGCAACTGAGTTTATCGGCCTTGTCCACTCTTCTCCTCAATCTAAAGCAGCGATGCCCCGCTGGGCACATTTCCACCACGTGCCCGAGGTCAGACTCACAGGCAAGCACCTCTGAGCCGGTGGACACCGCAGGGTCCTGACAGGCCGGGCCCCGAGTGCCCGGGGCGGTCAGCTCAGAGCGGGTGGCGGTCCCCGAGGTGAGACGTGGGGCACGGGCAGGGTGCGAGTGGGGGCGAGGGCCGGCGGGGACCGGGCGGCGGCTCACCCTGTTCATGCTGGGAGAGCTGATGCTCCTCCGGCTCAGCTTCCCCTTTCCTGTGAGCTGCTCCTTCACCGCGACCTCCTGGGGGAGACAGTGTGATCGGGACGCGGCCCTGACCCCGGCGGCTCGGTCCCCGCCCCGGAGAGCGGCCACCGCCTCCCAGGACGCCGAGCCCAGCCGGGCACCAGAGGCCCAGGGGAAATTCAAACGCACGTTTATCTTTTATTTGTATTTTTGGTGAAAAAATAAAGCCAAGAGGAAAGCCTGCGCGTGGCTAGGCAGCGAGGTCAGGCTTCTGCGGGGGGCCCACTGCCTGAGCCAGCCAAGTGGCAAGATGGGCCACCCCGCCGCGTTGGGGCGCGTCCCGCCAACAGCCCTCCCCAGGGCCGAGGCGCAGTCTCAGTAACTCTGGGGGGCGAGGCGCTACATGCTTTCTTTCCCTTGGCGTCAAGGCCCCTGGGTTCCCCTTAGCGTCCTGGACAAGCGACTTCCCAAAGACAGCGGCACAGGCCCGCCAAGCGCGGGGAAGCGGACGCCACAGGGCACGCCCCGGGCAGCCCCCGCGGGCGGCAGGGGGGCGCACCTGGCGGAGCCGGTCCAGGGTGAGGAGGTTCTCCACGGCCAGCACGCTCCGCAGGTATTTCTCAATGTAAGCCTCTGAGTCAGCCGAAGCCGTGCCGCCCACGTTGGCGGCCATTCTTGCCAGTGTTTCCCGCTCCTCTGCTCCCTGGGCATCCTGGAGAACGGAAAGTCGCATATTAACGTCGGCGCGCCGCTGCGGAAAACGCGCTAAAAGCTTCTTGCTCTAGACGGACACCACGGGGCTCTCCCGCGAGCGGACGGGGTGGCGTCCACACTTCCACTCCAGAGCCGGCCCCGCGCGCAAGGCGGTTCCCGCAGAGACGCGCCCTAAGGGCCACTCTTTAAGCGCCATCTGTTCGAGTCTGTGAATATCCAATTAGCTCAGAAAAGAACACTAAAAATAAAACGATAACTAAGAGCAACGAGCGACGGTGTCCACAGCAGTGACACCAGACTCAGTCAGTGTCCGCCTGCTGCGAGACCCGTGCAAGCTGACCTGCCCAGAGGAGCCCGCTGGCCCCTCGGGGTGCGGCCGTGTGGGGCCAGGCAGCTGCCCCAGACTCCGCTCCTGCCCCGACCCCTGCGGAGCTGCAGCTTTGTCTCGGGGGAAGCGCTCAGAGCTTTCCAGAGGAAAGTCCGGCCTTAAGCGGGCAGCAGCCCAGGTCTCGCGAGCGGGGGCTCCCCTGCGCACCCCTGCGCACAGCCCTGAATACGCAGCTTCTCTTACTGCCTGCTTCTTGGGAAGGGGGCTTTGCAGGGAGTTGGTGCTTTTCACGTGCTTATTTGTAATAAATTCAGATTTCCTATGACCCTTCACCTCTGGAATATTGGAGACAATCTCAAAAGTCACTCCGCAGCCAGGAATAGAACTTCGGTGAGACATCTTTTTTAGGAGACTCTGGGCGAAGCCCTAGGGGGAAACAAAAGTGGAGACGTGGTTTCCCGCCCACAGCCCGAGCTCCCCAGAGACGCGGCAGCAAGGCGCCTGGGCCGCTCTCCCCGGGCCGGCAGGCCGAACCCAGGGCGCTCAGCGGGTTCCCCACCCGCATCTGAGGGCACAGAGCCAACCTTTGGTGAGGTGGCTGGCCGGGCCCGGTCCGGACAGGGCGGCCCGCGCTCCGGCCTGACCCCAGGCCTCGGGTTCAGGCCGTGTGAAGGCCACAGAGGGGAGACTTTGACCTCGGGCAGTTCGATGGCCTCTAGCGGGCTGTGCACCGCGCTGCTCACACTTTTTCCCCAGCAGCTGGGCGGACATCTTGTACCATGAATATTGACAAGTGCAGGCACTAAATTCTCGACCAAAGCAGGATCGTCATGAAGAAGGATTTAAGAGTGCGTGGCCATTGTCGATGCTGACCGCGCTCTCGGCACGGCTAGGAACTGAGCTCTGAATTAATGCGCAGATGACTCCCTGGAGGTGCCCCCGCGCCCGAGCATCCGGGAGGCTGACGCGGGC